TGAAATTTCACAGATTTGACCCAAATCCGCCCCAAATCCGACCCGAATCTGCCCCAAATCCACCCCCAAATGGCACCTGCAGGCCTACGGCGAGCACTACCCGCTCCAGCAGTTCCAGAAATGAGCTGAAATCCCGGGGATTTGGGCAAAATCCTGGGAATTCCATCAAAAACCCGAAATTCCACAAATCCGCCCCAAATCAGATCCAAATCTGCCCCAAATCTGCCCAAAATCTAACCCCAAATGGCACCTGCAGGCCTACGGCGAGCACTACCCCCTGCAGCAGTTCCAGAAATGAACCAGAATTCCCCAAAAATCCCCAAAAATCCCGGGGATTTGGGCAGAATTCTGGGAATTTGGGCAAAATTCTGAAATTTCACAGATTTGACCCAAATCTGACCCGAATCTGCCCCAAATCCGCCCCAAATCCCACCTGGAGGCCTACGGGGAGCACTGCCCCCTGCAGCACTTCCAGAAATGAGCCAAAATCCCGGGGATTTGGGCAAAATCCTGAAATTTCACAAGTCCGCCCCAATTTTGACCCAAATCCACCCCAAAAGTGGCCTAAAAATCCCCCAAAATTCCCTAAAATCCCCTGGAAATGCCTTAAAAATATCTGGGAATTTCTTTGAAATATCTGGGAATTCCTTAAAAATATCTGGGAATTCCCTAAAAATCCCGAGATTTCCCAAATCCACCCCAAATCTGCCCCAAAAGTGGCCTAAAAATCCCCAAAAATTCCCTAAAATCCCCCAGGAATTCCTTAAAAATATCTGCAAATTCCCTAAAAATCCTGAAAATGCCTTAAAAATATCCAGGAATTCCTTAAAAATATCTGGGAATTCCCTAAAAATCCCGAGATTCCCCAAATCTGCCCCAAATCCCACCTGGAGACCCCCGGGGGCTTTTCCCACCCTGGCAGTTCCAAAAATTCCCTAAAAATCCCCAAATTCCCTAAAAAAACTCCAGAATTCCCTAAAAAATCCTGGAATTCCCTAAAAAAAAACCCCAATAAATGTTATTTTGGAGAGGAGAAGCCTCAGGAATTTTGGGATTGGATCTCTGGGATCTTTGGGATTTTTGGGATTGGATTTTTGGGATTTTTGGGATTGGATCCCTGGAAGTTTGGGATTTTTGGGATGGATTTCTGGGATCTGAGGGCCCTGGGAATTTCAGGAACACCTAAAAAAACCGAAATCCACGAAAAATAAAGGATTTATTTCAGGAAATTCCCTAAAAAACCCAAATTTGTTGAAAATTAAAGGATTCTTTTGGCCACGCCCATCCCTGCCTGGCCACGCCCACACCACCCTGCAGTGGCGCCCCCTGGCGGCCGGGAGGACCCGCCAGTTCCCCTCATTAGCGTTAATTAACGAGCCCCCCCCGTTTCCCCTCATTAATTAACGAGGCCCCCCCCGGTTCCCCTCCTCGTTAGCGTTAATTAACAAGCTCCTCTCATTTTTTAATTCCCCCCAGCCCCGCGGTGGCTCCTCGGGGACCCCTCGGTGACACGCCAGGGACATCTGGGGACAAAGGAGTTTATTGGGGACATTGGGGACACCGCGGTGGCACCGAGGGGACACCGGGGAAGGGGACCTCGGTGGCACCAAGGTGGCACTGGGGACACTCAGGTGGCACTCAGGTGACACTCAGGTGACACAGGTGGCACTCAGGTGACATCAGAGCTTGGCGAAGGGCACGCTGGGGACACTCAGGTGACCCAGGTGGCACTCAGGTGACATCAGAGCTTGGCGAAGGGCACGCTGGGGACACTCAGGTGACCCTGGTGGCACTCAGGTGACATCAGAGCTTGGCGAAGGGCACGTTGGGGACACTCAGGTGACCCTGGTGGCACTCAGGTGACATCAGAGCTTGGCGAAGGGCACGCTGGGGACACTCAGGTGACCCAGGTGGCACTCAGGTGACATCAGAGCTTGGCGAAGGGCACGCTGGGGACACTCAGGTGACCCTGGTGGCACTCAGGTGACATCAGAGCTTGGCGAAGGGCACGTTGGGGACACTCAGGTGACACTCAGGTGGCACTGAGGTGGCACTCAGGTGACATCAGAGCTTGGCGAAGGGCACGCTGGGGACACTCAGGTGACCCTGGTGGCACTCAGGTGACATCAGAGCTTGGGAAAAGGGGATGTGGGTGGCACTTAGGTGACCTTGGTGGCACTGAGGTGACACTGGTGACACTCAGGTGGCACTCAGGTGACATCAGAGCTTGGCGAAGGGCACGTCCTCGGGGCCCTTCTTCTCCAGGGCCGCCTGCACCGACTTGGGGATGTCCTCGGTCTGCAGCATGGCCATGTTCCACGTGGCCTGGGGACATTGGGGACAGTGACAGGGACATTGGGGACACTGGGACATTGGGGATGTCCTCGGTCTGCAGCATGGCCATGTTCCACGTGGCCTGGGGACATGGGGACATCGGGGACATTGGGGACATGGGCACATTGGGACATTGGGGACATGGGGACAGTGACAGGGACACTGGGGACATGGGGGACATTGGGGACAGGGACCCTGGGGGAGGTGGCCCTGTCCTGGGGCTGGTGTCCCTGATTCTGGGGAGGTGACCCTGATTTCAGGGAGGTGACAATCCCCGGGGTGGCCCTGTCCTGGGGAGGTGACACTGGGGGAGGTGACCCTGATTTTAGGGAGGTGGCCCTGTCTCAGAGGAGGTGACACTGATTCTGGGGAGGTGGCCCTGTCCTGGGGAGGTGACACTGATTCTGGGGAGGTGACACTGATTCTGGGGAGGTGGCCCTGTCCTGGGGAGGTGACACTGATTCTGGGGAGGTGACACTGATTCTGGGGAGGTGGCCCTGTCCTGGGGAGGTGACACTGATTCTGGGGAGGTGGCCCTGTCCTGGGGAGGTGACACTGATTCTGGGGAGGTGGCCCTGTCCTGGGGAGGTGACACTGATTCTGGGGAGGTGGCCCTGTCCTGGGGAGGTGACACTGATTCTGGGGAGGTGGCCCTGTCCTGGGGAGGTGAACCCCAAAACACACAGAAAATACACCCAAATCCACCCCAAATACACCCAAATCCAGCCCAAATCCAGCCCTTGTCCGGCAGCACCCGGCTGGGGACAGAATGAACGGAAAATACACAGAAAATATACAGAAAATATACAGAAAATACACAGAAAATACACCCAGGAACCCCAAAACACACAGAAAATACACCCAAATCCACCCCAAATACACCCAAATCCAGCCCAAATCCAGCCCTTGTCCGGCAGCACCCGGCTGGGGACAGAATGAACGGAAAATACACATAAAGTACACAGAAAATACACACAGGAACCCCAAAACACACAGAAAATACACCCAGGAACCCCAAAATCCACCCCAAATCCAGCCCTTGTCGGGCAGCACCCGGCTGGGCACAGAGGAATCACAATGAACCCCAAAACACACAGAAAATACACCCAAATCCACCCCAAATCCACCCAAATCCAGCCCAAATCCAGCCCTTGTCGGGCAGCACCCGGCTGGGGACAGAGCAGGGACACAAAACACAAATAAAATACACGGAAAATACACACAGGAACCCCAAAATACACCGAAAATACACACAAAATCCACCCCAAACCCACCCAAAAAATCCACCCCAAAATCAGCCCCAAATCCCCCTGAAATTCACCCCAAATACACCAAAACCACACCCCCAAAATCCACTCAAATCTATCCAAAATCCTCCTAAAATTCACCCAAAATTCACCAAAATTCATGAAAAATCCACCCAAATCCTCCTAAAATCCACCCAAAATTCACCAGAATCTAGCCAAAATCCCCCTAAAATTCACCCAAAATTCACTCAAATCAATCCAAAATCCCCCTAAAATTCACCCAAAATTCACCAAAATCCACCCAAAGTTCAGCAAAAATCCACCCAAATCCCCCTAAAATTCACGCAAAATTCAGCAAAATCCATCCAAAATTCACCCAAAATTCACCAAAATCCACCCAAAATTCACCCAAATCCTCCTAAAATCCACCCAAAATGCAGCAAAATCCATCCAAAATTCACCGAAAATTCCCCTAAAATTCACCCAAATCCCCCCAAACCCCCCCAGACCCCCCAGGGCGGGTCCCCACCTGACGAGGCCGCAGCTCAGCGCCTCCGGGGCTCTCATGACGCGGGCGGTGAAAGCCAGCTCGTTCACCAGGCTGGGACACGGGGACAGTGTGGGGACATGGGGACATCATTGGGGACATGGGGGACAGTGGGGACACCAGGGGACATTGGGGACATGGGGACACCAAGGGGACATCACTGGGGACACGGGGACATTGGGGACAGGGGGACAGCATTGGGGACACCAGGACATTGGGGACACAGGGACAGTGGGGGGACAGCAGTGGGGATGTCATTGGGGACATTGGGGACACCAGGAGAACATGGGGACATCACTGGGGACATCACTGGGGACGCAGGGGGGACATGGAGACAATGGGGACATTGGGGACATGGGGGGGACATCTGGGACAGTGTGGGGACATCATAGGGGACATGGTGACGTTGGGGACATTACTGGGGACACAGGGGGGACATTGGGGACATTATTGGGGACATGGGGACATCATTGGGGACATGGGGACATCATTGGGGATGCCACTGGGGACATCATTGGGGACATTTGGGACATCACTGGGGACAGCGTTGGGCACATCGGGGACATCATTGGGGACATGGGGACATCACTGGGGACAGCGTTGGGCACATCGGGGACATTATTTGGGACACTATTAGGGACATTGGGGACACGGGGACAGCGTGGGGACATTGGGGACATCGCTGGGGACACCGGGGGGGTCACAGGGCGGGACATTACTGGGGACACAGGGGGGACATTGGGGACATTATTGGGGACATGGGGACATCATTGGGGACATGGGGACATTGGGGACATTGGGGACAGCGTTGGGGACATTACTGGGGACACAGGGGGGACATGGGGACATTGGGGAGACAGTGGGGAAATGGGGACACCGGAACAGCGTTGGGGACATCATTGGGGATGCCACTGGGGACATCATTGGGGACACGGGGACATCATTGGGGACACGGGGACAGCGCCACGCCTGGGGGGGGCAGCCTTCGTCACCATCCTCATCCTCATCGTCATTGTCATCCTCATTGTCATCGTCATCATCATCGTCATCATCATCATCATCATCATCCCATCCTCATCATCACCATCCTCATCCTCATGTCATCCTCAATATCATCATCATCATCATCCCATCCTCATCATCATCGTCATTGTCATCATCCTCACTGTCATCATTGTCATTGTCATCATCACCATCCTCATCCTCATCGTCATCATCATCATCACCATCCCATCCTCATCATCATCGTCATTGTCACCCTCATTGTCACCATCATCTTCATCACGATCCCATCCTCATCCTCATCCTCACCACCCTGTTCCCATTTTATCCCACCCTCATCTTCACCCCGATCTTCATCCTCATCGTCCCCATCCCCCATGGCCCCACACCACTGTTCCAATCCCGACCCCCAACCCCAATCTCCACCCCAAACCCCGACCCAATTCCAACCCCAAACCCAACCCCAATCCCAATCCTGACCCCAATTCCCGACCCCAATCCTGATCCCAATCCCACCCCAAACCCGACATCATTGGGGACATCACTGGGGACATTGCTGGGGACACGGGGACATCATTGGGGACAGGGTTGAGGACAGGGTTGGGGACAGAGTGGGACAGCGGTGGGGACAGCATTGGGGACACTCTTGGGAATGTCACTGGGGACACTATTGGGGACACGGGGACAGTCCAAACCCCAATGCCATCCCAATCCCGATCCCGACCGCAAACCCCAAACCCCAAACCCCAAACCCCAAACCCAAACCCCGACCCCACCCCGGCCCCGCTGCCCTCACCGGCTCCGATGCAGGGCCCGTGCACGGCGGCGATCACGGGTTTGGGGCACTGCGGGGATTTGTGGGGTCAGGGCAGGTTTTGGGGGTCAGGATGGGTTTATGGGGTCTGGGGGGTTTGGGGCACTGTGAGGTTTTTGTGGGGTCAGGGTGGGTTTGGGGCATTGCAGGCAGATTTGGGGTCAGGGCAGGATTTGGAGTGCCAGAGTGGGTTTGGGGCACTGTAGGGTTTTTGTAGGGTCAGAGCGGGTTTAGGGGAGGCAGATTTGGGGTCAGGGTGGGTTTATGGGGTCAGGGCAGGTTTTGGGGTCAGGAAGGGTCTGTGGGGTCCGGGCATGTTTGGGGCACTGTGGGGTTTTTGGGGGCTCAGGGCAGGTTTTGGGGTGTCAGGCTGGGTCTGTGGGGTCAGGGTGGGTTTGGGACATTGAATGGGGGGTTTTTGGGGTCAGGCCGGGTTTATGGGGTCAGCCCAGGTTTTGGGGTGCCAGGCCAGGTTTAGGGGTGCCAGCCCAGGTTTGGGGTGTCCCGGGGGTCCGTGCCCACCCTCTCCATGACGGAGAAGCTCTCCTGGAACTCCAGGATGTGCAGGGGCCAGGCTGGGTTTGGGGTCAGGCCAGGTTTGGGGTGCCAGGCTGGTTTTATGGGGTCAGCCCGGGTTTAGGGGTGCCAGCCCAGGTTTGGGGGTGTCCCGGGGGTCCCGGGGGTCCGTGCCCACCCTCTCCATGACCGAGAAGCTCTCCTGGAACTCCAGGATGCGCCGGCGCAGCGCCCAGGCTGGGTTTATGGGGTCAGGCCGGGTTTAGGGGTGTCAGCCCGGGTTTGGGGGTGTCCCGGGGGTCCCGGGGGTCCGTGCCCACCCTCTCCATGACCGAGAAGCTCTCCTCCCCCGGACCCCCGACCCCGTCCCACCGGCGGTGAAGGCGCTGCCGGCCCCGGAGATGACGACGGCGCGGCACGAGGGATCCTCGGAGATGTCCTGGAAGCACTGCACCAGCTCCCTGCACCAGTATGAACCAGTATGAACCAGTATGAACCAGTACAGACCAGTATGAACCAGTATGAACCAGTACAGAGCAGTGACACCAGTGTGCACCAGCTCCCTGCAGGATGAACCAGTACATAGCGTTGACACCAGCGTGCACCAGCTCCCGGGACCAGTAGGAACCATTATGAACCAGTATGAACCAGTACAGAGCAGTGACACCAGTGTGCACCAGCTCCCTGCACCAGTACAGACCAGTATGAACCAGTACAGACCAGTACAGAGCAGTATAAACCAGTATAGACCAGTAAAAACCAGTATGAACCAGTATGAACCAGTATGAACCAGTATGAACCAGTGACACCAGTGTGCACCAGCTCCCTAAACCAGTACAGACCAGTATGAACCAGTACAGACCAGTACACACCAGTTCCCCCCAGCCGTGTCCCAGTCCATCCCAGTGCCCCCCAGCCCCATCCCAGTCCCTCCCAGTTTGTCCCAGTCCCCCCCAGTCCCTCCCAGTCCTCCCCCAGTCCATTCCCAGTTCCCCCCAGTGTCCCCCAGCTGTGTCCCAGCCCGGTCCCAGTGCTCCCAGTTTGTCCCAGTCCCCCCCAGCCGTGTCCCAGCCGTGTCCCAGTGCATCCCAGTGCTCCCAGTGCTCCCAGTGCTCCCAGTACCTCCAGCAGCGCAGGTCGATGGCGTTGCGCTTGCCGGGCCGGTGCAGCTGCAGGTGCAGCACGTGCGGCCGCTCCCGCTGCAGCCCGGGCACTGGGATGGAAATGGGGACACTGGGATGGGAACAGGATTGAACTGGGAGGGACTGGGATTGAACTGAGGACACTGGGAGCACTGGGGGTGCAGCGTCTGCAGCTCCCGGGGGGGGGACATTGGTGACTCCGGTGTCACCGAGATCACCGAGCGCGACACGGGCACTGGGATGGCACTGGGACGCACTGGGGTGGAAATGGAGACACTGGGATGGACTGGGAGGGACTGGGATGGACTGGGATTGAACTGGGAGGGACTGGGATTGAACTGAGGACACTGGGAGCACTGGGGGTGCAGCGTCTGCAGCTCCCGGGGGGGGGACACCAGGGGCTCCGGGGGGGACATCGGGGACTCCGGTGTCACCGAGGTCACCGAGTGGGACACGGGCACTGGGATGGCACTGGGACGCACTGGGGTGGAAATGGAGACACTGGGATGGACTGGGAGGGACTGGGATGGACTGGGATTGAACTGGGAACACTGGGGTGCAGCGTCTGCAGCTCCCGGGGGGGGACACGGGGGGGGACATCGGGGGTGTCACCGAGGTCACCGAGGTCACCGAGCGGGACACGGGCACTGGGATGGCACTGGGACACACTGGGATGGGAACGGGATTGAACTGGGGACGCTGGGATTGAACTGGGAGCACTGGGATGGGAATGGGATTGAACTGGGAGGGACTGGGATGGACTGGGGGGGCACTGGGGGGCCACTGGGGATACTGGGATTGAACTGGGATGGACTGGGAGCACTGGGGGGGCACTGGGGGGGCACCGTCAATGTCACTGACGCCACTGGAAGGGACTGGGACAGTGGGACTGGACTGGGAGGGACTGGGAGGGACTGGGACTGAACTGGGGGGCACTGGGGGCACTGGGGACACGGGGACACGACTGGGGGCACTGGGAGGGACTGGGATGAGAACCGGGACCCACTGGGGACAAACTGGGACCCACTGGGGACAAAGTGGGACTGACTGGGACTGACTGGAGACAAACTGGGGACAAAGTGGGGACAAACTGGGACCAACTGGGACCCGCTAAGGACAAACTGGGACAAACTGGGGACAAACTGGGACTGACTGGGAACTGACTGGGGACGAAGTGGGACAGACTGGGACAAACTGACACCGACAGGGACCCACTAAGGACAAACTGGAACAAACTGGGACAAACTGGGACCCACTGGGGACAAACTGGGACTGACTGGGAACTGACTGGGACCCGCTAAGGACAAACTGGGACCCACTGGGGACAAACTGGGACAGACTGGGACAGACTGGGGGGGTCGCGGGGGTCACGTGGCCCTGGCGGGGTCGCCCCTCCCCCACTCACGCGCCCGCAGCAGCCGCGCCGCCATCGGCTCCGCTCTCCGCCAGGGGGCGCCGCGCGCTTCCGGCCCCGCGGCCAATGGCGGCGCGGCGCGGCGCCACGCCCCCTGGCAGAGAGGAAGTGACGCACTAACGAGGCGGAAGTGGGGCGGGATTCGCCCTAACGAGGCGGAAGTGACGCGCGGCGAGGCGGAAGTGGGGCTGGAGGACAAATTTGTGCCGAAAGTTCTGGAATTTCACCCAAAATGCCACCGAGTCCTCCGTGAACCCCCAAATCCTCCCGGGGTCCCCCCAGAAAAACCCAAAATCCCCGCGGCCAATGGCGGCGCGGCGCGGCGCCACGCCCCCTGGCAGAGAGGAAGTGACGCACTAACGAGGCGGAAGTGGGGCGGGATTCTCCCTAACGAGGCGGAAGTGACGCGCGGCGAGGCGGAAGTGGGGCTGGAGGACAAACTTGTGCCGAAAGTTCTGGAATTTCACCCAAAATGCCACCGAGTCCTCCGTGAACCCCCAAATCCTCCCGGGGTCCCCCCCGAAAAACCCAAAATCGTCACAAAAATTCCCAAATCTTCCCCAAATCTCCCAAAAAATGCCCCCAAATCATCCAAAAAAACCCCAAATCCCTCAAAAATCTTCCCCAAAAATTCCAAATCCTCCAAAATCTCAAATTTTCTCAAAAAACGCTGAACCCACCCAAAAAGTAAAAAGCACAAACCCAAAATGTTCCCCAAACCTCCCAAATTCTCCCCAAAATCCTGAACCCCCCCAAAATCATCCCAAAACCTCCCCAAACCTCCCATTTTCCCCAAAATCGTCCCAAAAAAAATCCCAAAACCCAAAAAAATCTTCCCAAAAAAACCTCAAATGCCCCAAAACCTCCCCAAAAATTCAAATCCTCCCAAAAGTCTTCCCAAAAAAAAATCCCAAAACCCCAAAAAATATTCCCAAAAATTCAAAATCCCCCAAAAATCTTCAAAAAAAATTCTCAAATCCCAAAAAATCTTCCCAAAAAAACCTCAAATGCCCCAAAACCTCCCCAAAAATTCAAATCCTCCCAAAAGTCTTCCCAAAAAAAAATCCCAAAACCCAAAAAAATCTTCCCAAAAAACCCCAGAACCTCCCCAAAACTCCTCCAAAACATCCCAAAAATTCAAAATCCCCCAAAAATCTTCCCCAAAAAAAAAATCCCCAAATCCCAAAAAATCTTCCCAAACCTCCAATTTCCCCCCAAAACTGTCCCGAAAAAAAATCCCAAAACCCCAAAAAAATATTTCCAAAAATTCAAAATCCCCCCAAAAAATCCAAAACCTCCCCAAAACTCCTCCGAAATCGACCCAAAAATTCGAAATCCCCCCAAAATCTTCCCAAAAAACCTCAAATCCCCCAAACCTCCCATTTCTGACCCAAAACTGCCCCAACCCCCCAACCCCCCCAGACTCTCGGGTTCCGTTTCCCAAACGAGCTTTATTGTGGGGGAGGGGATCTGGGGGGGCCCGACCCCCCCTCCTTAAAAATGGGGGGGCAGAGGGGGGAGGGGCGGGGTCTGCGCCCCTCGGCCTTAAAAAAACGGGGGGTCAGGGGGGTCTCCGGGGGTCCCCAGGGGGGTCCTGGGGGGTCTCAGGGTCCCTGGGGGGCTCCAGGGGGTCCCAAGGTGGGATTCGGGGGGTCCTGAAGGAATCCAGGGGGGTCCTGGGGGGATCTTGGGGGTCTCCAGGGGGTCCCGGGGGTCCCCAGGATTCCTGGGGGGGTCCCGGGGGGATCTCGGGGGTCCCGGGGTAATCCTGGGGGTCTCCGGGGGTCTCTCCGGGGGTCTCAGGAGGCGTGCTGGGCCGTGGAGAAGCAGAGCTTGAGCGTGTAGGGGTAGGGCCCGTCTGGGGGGCACAAACCGGATGAGGAGGATGAGGATGAAGGGAACAATGAGGATGAAGGGGAGGAGGATGAAGGGCAGGAGGAAGATGAGGATGAAGGGAGGAGGCAAGGATAAGGATGAAGATGAGGATGAAGGAGAGGATGAGGATGAAGGGCAGGAGGAAGATGAGGATGAGGGGATCAGGCTGAGGATGAAGGGGAGGATGAGGAGGATGAGGATGAAGGGAACAATGAGGATGAAGGGGAGGAGGATGAAGGGCAGGAGGCTGATGAGGATGATGAGGATGAAGGGGCTGAGGATAAGGATGAAGGTGAGGATGAAGGACAGGATGAGGAGGAGGAGGATGAGGATGAAGGAGAGGCTGAGGATGAAGGGCAGGAGGCTGATGAGGATGATGAGGATGATGAGGGGGGCGAGGCCGAAGCACGCACTGGGGTTCTTCATCTGGAAGTGGTTGAGGAAGCCGAGCGTCTCCAGCGCGTCGCTCTTGGAGTCCCACTCCAGCAGCCCCGAGGAGCTGCGCTCGCCTGGGGTCAGAGGTCACACAGGGGTCAGAGGTCACCCAGGGGTCACAGGGTCACGGATCATTCCTGACCCCCCCATGACCCCCTGGCCCCTCCCACTCCAGCAGCCCCGAGGAGCTGCGCTCGCCTGGGGTCAGAGGTCACACAGGGGTCACTCAGGGGTCACACAGGGGTCAGGGATCATTCCTGACCCCCCCATGACCCCCCAAGCCCCTCCCCATGACCCGCAACCCCGTCCCACTCCAGCAGCCCCGAGGAGCTGCGCTCGCCTGGGGGGTCACGGGGTCACACAGGGGTCACACCGGGGTCAGAGGTCACCCAGGGGTCACCCAGGGGTCACCCCGGGGTCACTGGGTCACCCAGGGGTC